GTTGCTGGAAACACAAAGTGAATATGGCAAAATTTAATAATTGGTATTAATTCTGCCATATTGGGGGGTAATTGTTGACACATAAAAATTCAACCCAAATCGAACGGCCCAAGGAATGAAACCCAATTGGAGGATCCCCAAATCAGATAGCCCAAAGAATGAAGCTCAATCAAACAATTCAAGATGAAGGCCCAAATAGGGAGGCCCATGAACGCGGTAACACCATCGCCCAAGCTTGCAAGTCGCCCAGGATCTGAGCGAATGGAGTGCCATGCAGTCGCCCAGAGTTGTTACTCTATTCTCGCCCAAACCTTCGAGTCGCCCAAGGTTTTAGCAAACATGAGGTGTTGTGGTTATCAAGAAGCGCAGTTATCAAAACAGTTATTAAAATAGTCCCATCACGTTCCACGATTCAAGGAACTCAAATGAAGACGATTGAACGACAAAGAGTAATGGCAGCAGTTAGAAAATGCAGTTCCATGACAAGTTGGCCATTACGAGGAAGTGGACAGTTATAGAACGATCAAACAGTTTTTAGGTGGTTGATCACAAAGAGATCATCCAGGGAGTATAAAAGTAAGGAAAGACATAGAGCAGAAAAAAATCGAATCAAAAACTCTCGAACAGAGAACATGTAATTTTAAAATTTCTTAACTTAGATTTAAACACTTCTTTCAATAACTCGTGTGCTTGTGCCTCTTGAAGGCATTCTGTTTTTAATTTCCAATTGTAAAGCCATAGTTAATAAAGAACACCATTTTTTGGGACTTTGTCTCAAAAGATTTATCCCTTACACAATCGTCCGATCCCTTTTAATTGTTATCGACAAACCCGCGCGAAACACATCTGTACAATCAATCTTCATCGATGAACATATCAGTATATTTGTTAAATTATGGTAAGTCTCACATGTACAACATCTTTTTCCTTGGTTGACTAACTTTATAAAGTTCAATTTTGTTTTATCTCAAGCTTATGACTAGAAATTTGAAACAAGACATTTTCCAATGATCATCGTGGGCAATTTAATGAATATTTGAATCGTTTCTATCATTGAGATTGATTGGCAAACTACTAATTTTTATTTATTTATTTTTAAGATTGGAGACTAAGTCCCTGTTTAGGCTCCATATCTTCCAAAATATATTTTTTTTTAAAAATTCAATTTTAATTACACGTTCTCTTATAAAATAATATTACACATAAATTTAAACAATTTTATTCTTTTTTAACCACACATTCTTTAAAAAATAACTATTTTAAAATACTTTTTGTTTCAAACCCTTGTTTCAATGAATCCCAAACAAGGGCTAATAGTAATGGTGCACTTTTCCCTTTTGAAAAAACATTACATTTAAAAATTCAACAAATTATTTATTGATTTGTAAAATCGTGTCAATTATGCCCATGTTTGACTACCATTTTTTTCATTCTTTTTTTTACATACTATTTTCAAATACACATTCTCATAATGAAATTTTCATTTTGTAAACCTAATATTTTTCTTACTTTTTAGCTCTTGTTTGGCCCCCATTATTTGGATTTATAATGGGGGAATAATGTTTTTTTGAAAAATGAAGGATTGTAAAGAAATGAAAAGTTTTCAACTTGTGTGAAATATTATTTTATTGAAAATTGTGTTGTTGAAAACAAAAAAGAGAAAAATTAAAATTAAATTGATGAGTTTTATAGGGGGCCAAACGTGGGCTTAATTACATCTTTTCCAAAAATTTACTATTCCGTAACTCATTCTTTTCAAAAAAAATTTGTCAAACGAGGAATACTTAGGAGTGTCAACTTGTATTGTCGTATAAGTGCACGAGGAGTAGGAAATGCAAGTCAATTTTACTAATCCACTAATCCACTGTTTGACAAAGATATTTTTTAGATAATGAAGGGCTCGTTTTGACATGTCTTTTACTTTTGTTTTTACATTTTGTATAAGAGCTTTTAGGTGAAATTTTAGAAGAGTTTCATCTTTCAGAGATTCTTTTAGAGGAATTATTCTAACAAGAAAAAAAATATTTTCATAAAATCAATCAAACGAGTTCAAAAACTGTTTTTGAATTTGAAAAACTCATTTTAACTTTTCAAAAGTCATGCCATACAGATTCTATGACTATGTTACAAGTGCTTCAATTGCCAATACGGTTTTCTCTTCACGTGAAAATAGTCATTTGGGAAGGTGGGGAGATAATTTTTCAATTTCATTTTTGTTTTCCATTTAAGTAATTTCTGGGTTTATAAAAAATAGGAACGGAATAATATATTCTTCCGTGAAAATTTGACTTTACCGCTGGAACTGGTTGAGAAGGGACTAACTTGTTACAAATTTAAAAGGCTATCGATAATGCTGCTAAAAGAAATAAGTTAAGGACCAACAGTGAAATTTCTCAAAATAAAAATAATTTTTAACTTCGTTAGCTCGTCAGTATATGGAATGAACCCGATATGGGCTATTTAATGTGGGGGAAGAATAAACCCAATTGAGGAAGAAACACAAGTACTGAAGAATATTCTTCATTTCATTTAGGAAAATTGTTTAATAATTTTGATTTTAGCTCTTGTCAGCTTGTTCAAATATATAGGATTTTTTTTATGGGTGGGCAGTGATATTTTAATTCAAGAAAAGGAGGACACCTGACAGGAGAAAAGACACCAGCAGAGTGCAGAGGGGGAATTTTCCGAAGGTTTAGCCTATAATATTAGCAAAACCCACCAAGAAATAAGACCCTTCTAATCATACTTTGAGGTAAGAATTATTTTCTCTCTATAATTTCATTTTCATTGCTGCGTTGGTTGATTGTTCTCTGTTTAGGGTTTTCTTATTCATTTCTATCTTATTTGTACTTTAAAGTTGTGTGTTCATGTCGATTTCTGTTTGTCATTTTATATGTTCATCATTGAAATTGGACCTACAAAATCTAAGTATGATTGACACGTTTTTGCCTAGTTCCTGAGTAAGTTTTATTTTTTACTGTTATTAAGAGAATTAGCACTGTAAATAATTTCTGGCAACATATATTTGCCATTAGTCAATTCGTAGTGTAATATGGATCATGATATCTAATACCATATTGCTGGATTCTATTATGTGGTTTGAGGTCCTTCCCATTCTGTCGAATATGCTTCAAGAAGTTATATTAATAACTGTGGTGTTACTTTTATTTCCATTTTTTATTGTTTTGGGTTGTAGAAAGGGTATAATTAATCTCTAAGCTGCTAATGTTCTAAGAAACATAAAAGGTGAAGGAAAAGGGAAAATTTGATTTCTGGACAACTTCAGATTTATAATATGTACTGCATTCTTTTGTGCAAGCTGAATGACCAGAAGCTAAAAGGAATTTCATTAGATCCTTGCTTGAATCGACATTTCAAGTTCTATAATAAGTTTTGGTTCTGCATAAGCAGTAAATGCCAAATCCTATTAACTGCTTACTAACAGAAATCAACTTTTATGAGCTAAAATCTACATAGCTAATGCAATGAAAATCATGGGAAACTTTGTCTTTTGATATAGCATGATTTCCGTTCTTTTTATTTATCATCAATAGAATTGAAGTTATGTGAACATTGATGTGTTTATTTCTCATGCATCCTTAGAAATTGTGACACAGCAAAAGCCAATTGAGGAAAATGGTTACTTTCTGGAGTTTTTATTGTGCTGTAGTATTTTTGTACGTAGGGTTTTTTAGGTGGATTCATTGCTTGAAAAGTTTGGGGTTATAGCCATCTACAACCACGAAGGCCTATAGTATCTAAATACTTCTTTTTGGACTTCTAATAAATATCACCTTCAGTTTGTTGTTCCCTTGAGAATTGTAGATTTAATTACAACAACTCCCTTTCTGTACTTGGTTTTTATGGAGGCAAGTAGAAATACTTCTTTCCATTCTTCAATCTACTTTAGACTGTACCTCGGGTATGAGATGCAGTATATTTTATTTAAATATAGGTGACCAATAAGTCATTGAAGGGTTCGTGTCGATAATAAAGAGAATGGTAAACAATCATTTTAAAAACTGGCACTGGGCTTGGACCACTATAGGGAACTAGAAGGCTTTTATACATTGTAATTAACAAAAACATAAATGGGTAGTTCTCGAAAAACCTATCCTCTTTATGTACCTTAAGAAATGAAGGCTACTATGGGTTTAGCTTACGTTGTTTATCTCTCTCTCTCTCTCTCTAAAAAAAAGGATTTTACAGAGATCCGACATTTTATCCACACTGGTCATACCCTTTTATAGAATTTTCCAGAGTTCCTCTTTATGAACCAAGAAACGTACTTGTTCAAATCCTTAAGAGGATGTTGGCTCAGCTGATCTTCTTATCTTGACTACAAATATCAGTATTTATTGCATGATGTTGTAGAATTTGTTATACGCTGTAGCTGCTAGGTGTCGCTTAAGAGGACACGATTTTATTCCTAGACTGGTCTTCATATTGTAACTATTATTGACTTTATGAATCTCTGTCTCGCCCAGTTGTTGATCGTTGGCTACTTGGCTTCACCTTCAACTGTTCTTTCTGTTATATGGATGCTAGACCATGTTTAGATTAGAGGTTGTTCCTTTGCAAATCCATAGAAATTATATATAGTTGTATTGTGTTGTGCAACATAACTAGGAGCCTCGTATTGGACATCGGAACTCAATTTCTTTCCTGTTATGCGTTAGGACTTCATTAGGCTTTGTATTTTGAGCTTCTTATCTTGTGAAACGTCAAATTTCCCCAAGAAAATTTCATAGTTGTGTTGTGAAAAAAAAAAAAAAAAAAGAAAGAAAAAGAAAAAAAAGTCATATATTTTTTCAGAATTATTAAAGCGCGCACACACATAGTTATCAGTGCTAAAACAAAACCACAGGACAAGCAAGGATAGTTGAAAAGGATAATCTGCTGGTGTATGATTTGTGTTGGTTCTCAAGGAACAGCAGTATGAGATGAATTGCTAGGGAAATCAGAATTTCAACTTCAAGCTGATAAGGTCCGTGTTCTTTCACACCAGTAATGATCGAATCTATTATATTTGCACATGGATTTATATGCTGAAATTCTCTCTTGTTTAAAGGGATGGTCACCATTTATTCTGACAAGGTGTTACCATTTTATATTGTTAAACTTGTGGAATTAAGTTATTTTAAACTATGAACTTTTCACTTTTCCACCTTTTTAATCTGGTTAAATAATGTGTAACTATATCAACTTATGTCAAACTTACTTTCCGTTTATCAATTTTTTGGATGCACGCATTTTCATCGAATACACGTGGAAGTAAATTTTTGGTCCATTTAAACCTACAGGATTCTTATTAGTTATAAATGCTTCTCCATGAGTTTGCATGCAAAATAACTAATCCATCACCAATCCCATTAAATCTCGCCCTTTGCATTTGGAATAACCTCCCTTCACACTGAAAATAAAAGAAAACTGTGAATAAATTACCACAACAATGTAAAGTGGATCTATTTAGCACTTGAAGATGAAATAGTTATTTTTTATTTTGCCTGTGACTCTGAGAATTTTTTTCAACTTTGGGTTATGGGATGTTATAATGTAATGGTGTAAATAACTATCAAAATTTGAAATATAAGAATTTATGTTTCAAACTGTTCTGATGTGTAGGAACGGACTTTCCAAGTGCCCACAAACTTTCACAACCTAATGAATATTCTAAAATGACTAACAATGGCAGAAAATAATAACGTGAGAAATAATAAAACCCCAAGAAGTGAAAATTGTGCAATGCATTTTGAAACTTTTCCGTGAAAACTGCACAAAAAGCATGCTGCAAAAGCAAAAACTGGTTAAGGAAATATGTGCCTTGTGCTTTATCGATTTTCTCCTATGAAGAAATTGTCTAGGTTGCTTAATGGTCATACTACGTACACCATCTTTGCATATAATTATTAGATTCAATTATCTAACTAAGGAATATATCTAAGGAGTTACTAGGCTAATTATAATCTGATTGTAGTTATAATCTGGGAAATTAAGGTAATCCTATTACGGTGTAGTGTTTATCTACCTATCAACATTCCTCTTCCAGCTGGATGGACTGGTTCCAATATTTTTGTCATTCCTGGATTGCAAATTATGGGTTGAAATAACTGCCTTTGGAGCACTTTAGCAAACATATACTGATTGTTCTTTTGATGAGATAAATAGTATGCAATGACACCATTATCTAGCTTTCCTTTTTAAAGTGTCAATCTATCTCTGTATGCCTAGTTATATCATGCTTAACATGGCTTTGAGCTATATTATAGCTTCTTTATTATCATACAGTCTCTTAGCTGCATCCTTGTACACTTGATCTCCTTCATTAGGGATCTTAGCCAAATTAGTTCACAAATAGATTGTAGCATATATTGAATTCTGCTTTTGCACTTGATCTAGCTATAACTTGTTTTTCACCTAGTTATTTCCATAAATGTACAGTACCCAGTGCCTAGTGGTCAATCTTCTATAATTATAACAGTAGGCATCGAGCTTTAGATGACTACTCCTTGTGAAGATAAATGCCTTTGCCAACATGTACCCAAGTACCTCAAAAATCTTACTTTATCATTCAGTTGTTCCGCATTTGGAGCATGTATGAACTATTTTACTACATTCTTAGTGAATGCAATATCAGGTCTAGTATGTGGCAAGCATAAGTTTTGCCAATAAGCCTCTGGATATCAATCCTAGTTCACTACCCTTGGTTTTGCTTGTTTTTCAATCTTGTGACTAACATCTATTAGTGTATCAGCTGGCTTGCATCCTAACTTACCTGTGTTCTTTAGATGGTCTGAGGCATACTTTTATTGGGCTAGAAAGATTATACAACTTGCTGCTTATTTTTTGTAATTTAAGCCCTATTTGAATAATATTAAAATTTAGAACAAGTATTAGTCGGATATTTCTTCTTCTTCTTCCAGTTTTTGGTGCATGCCTGTCAAAGGGATCATTGTCCTGTAACAGGGAAAAAGAGAAACGTTAGGTTCTTTCAATTTTGATATTCATATATAATATTCATATCTTTGGTCTTTAACCTCACCACCATGCTTAATGGAACAAAATTACTTTTTATCAATGTAAAATTTGCATTAACATCTAATTTTAGCTTTTGGTTACTAGGAAATTTATGACGTATTGCTTTATTTTACTTGTTGTGAGTAAGTGTGCCCTCCATTTATTAACTTCAATTGCAAGCCCAAAGCTTATGTGTTTGTACACGGCTGCTCGTTACATTCTCACTTTGTTAATTGTTTGTTGCTGACGGTGATATTTAAGATGCATACTTGGGATTTGGCTTCAATGTCCTACAACTTATTCTCTCTTTGATGGCTTATCTCATGAAAGCGAAAGCCTGGTTTATATTTGGTCTCTCATGTTGAACTGAGAGACTATCCTAGTATTTTCCCAGATATGCACACATAACTGCATCTTGTCTGCACCACAGACACTTGCTTTTACATTTTTCCTTACTTATTGAATATGTTGCAGAAACTTTTATTTTATGAGCTTATTCTTCTATGGTTGCTTTACTGAGATGATGATTTATTTGATGTCCCAGGGGATGGAGATATCAGTGCTAAAATCACTTCTCAACAGCATAGCCAGTGTTTTTCAATTGTCATCTCGTGAAAGCATAAAATGTGAACCAGTTCAGAAATATCATCAAAAGATTGAAGAGATGTTGAAGTTATTAAAGCCCATACTTGATGCCATTCTTGATGCTGAAATTCCTAAAGACGAAATACTTCAAAAAGAATTTGCTGGACTATGCCAGTCTGTTGACAATTTACGAGAGATGTTTGAAAACTGGGAGCCACTCATGAGTAAAGTTTATTTTGTACGTGATAAGCTCCATGATGATATTTGTAATTCACAGCCTTTCTCATGCAGCCTAATAGTGAAAGTTGGAACAGAAAAAAAATTAATGTAGAGGTTGAAAGGATGAATATTTCCCTTTATGATGTTTTAATTTTTGAAACTTGACTTGGTTGGTATCTCTTACATATTAGCTAAATATTTTCCATCTAGCTGATATATTCTTCATCTCTAGGTTTTACAAGTTGAATTACTGATGGAAAAGATCCGGATTTCTAGTTTGGAAATTCTTGAATTGTTGAAAGTTTGTGCTCCATGCTTACCTGATGAACTAAGTGCTGCATCCCTTGAGGTAATGGCTATCAATATTTTTTTTTGTTTCTCATTTTTTCTTCTTAAGAAAATTTTACTCAGAATTCATTATATTCATTTATATGTTGTTTTTATCACTGCGGATGCAGAAATGTGTACAGAAAATTAAGCGTATAAGATGTGGCCTAACATCAGAAATAATCACAAAAGCTGTTAAGGATCATGTGGAGGGCTCGGGAGCCAACTCTGAGTGTCTGGCAAAAATTTCTGATATCCTGGGATTAAAGTCAAACCAGGAACTTCTAATTGAGGCCGTGGCCCTTGAGAAATTGAAAGA